AAGTGGATTTTCGAAACTGATTGCGGAGTGTGAGGACAATAGAAGGATTTGTGAAAATTCAAAATTCATCTGCCAGGTTTGACCATTGCATCTGGATCGGTAAGAAAATAAATGCAAAACTGAGGCAGGCCAAAGAAAGATTTTCAGAAAATTCCCAAATAACAATAGCTCGGAACGTGATGCCTCTCATTAGCGATGAGGATCAACAAAGGTTATCTAATGCTGCTTAATAATGCTTAGAATTAACATATTTGGTTTCTTCTCAAATTATAACATCTTACACGGCAGGACACTATTAGTTCAGCTGTGTGGATGGTACAAAATGAGTGCATCTGTACACAAGCTTCTTATGCGCGGTAGCAACATCATCAGATTATTTGCATTACCTATAAAGCAGATATCCTTAGGTGTTCTGAAGGTTAGCCACAAAGAAAGTCAAAACATTAGGCCTATTACATTCCAGAAAACTTTGAGAGTGAATACAAATATCGATATATCGAATTTGATGCATTTATTACCACATCAGGAAACTGCCGCCTAGAGGAAAATGACTAGAAAAAACGGTAACTCTTTTCATAGGCGATGGTTGCAATACTTGATACTCCATACTTCTTGCATGGGATATCCATGGACGGAGCAGATGACATCTGTAGTGATGATGAAGATTAACACTATGAAGATGCTTCCTAAATTATTAATAAGTACTTGGTTCTTAATTTTTCATTCTTTTATTCCATAATAAATATATAAGAAATAGTATTTTTTATTTACTACATAACGCAGTTCTGAGTAAGACCTTAAAAAATCATGTCTTAAAATGTTTTGAACCTTTGTATAGTGCATTATTTAATTTCCACTTACATTTTAATGCATAATGCATCAATAATAACAGTCCCTAAGTTTTGGTTTAAGCTATAGTGTTTTTGTCAACCTAAAATGCGCATTTTACCATCTGGGCGACCTGGAAATAGGGCCAATCCTGCACCAACTGTTGAACGCCATACCTCTCGACTATGTGGCATCACTGTTTAGGCCGCCATCGCTATGAATAACCGGTTATTTCCTGTGCGTATCAGAGACACAATGAAACAAGCGTGAAGTGCTGCAGCTAGTTGCACTAGCCTACCTTCAGCTGTTCTTCAGCTTCAGCGCAAGTCTATTGTCAGATACAAGAAGCAGTCCATTGTCAGAAAGAATTCTTAAATTTGTTGTCAGTATAAGGTATTTTCTCTCTGCTTGTCCTCTTGCCTTCATGGTGAAACTGGAAGCACGCTCGATGCATGTTTCGGAGGTCCAGAGTTCGAATCCCGGCTAAGGCACTGCATGTTTTTCAAGCTCCTGCATCGGTATAACCTACTGTCTCTACAGAGAAACAAACAAAGATCTATCTAAGGTAGAAATAAAATTTAGTTAAAATATTTGTGAATAATAATATAATCAATTATGGAAAAAATATTGAAACTTTAAAATTTTATGACAGCAGAAAGTGCTAAATAGGAAATTTGTTTAACAGTGTTTGCAGGAATAGAAAATATAGGAATAATAAATATATATAGATATAATATAGGAATATAAAAAAGAATATAAAAAAGGGAAATAAGAATATAAAAAGAATTCTCTTCCTCGGGGGAAGATGTTAAGTATCCTTCCGCGAGGACCCTTTTTTTTCAGGGAGGGCTGCATAACAAATTAAATCTTGGATCTTGGTGCAATATTTGACAGTGCTGGATATAAAGCATATTTAACGTTTTTCAGCGTTGACGATATTTGAATTTAATAACTGAAAGTTAAATCCTGATATTAAGCGAAAGTTAAAACACATTCCTTCATATTATAACATGCTCTTGTTTATATTATTTATTACCAATTCCGCAAGATAAAAACTGTTTAAATACATCTCTTTACTTTTACACCATTATTTATCTTTATAAACGCAGTTCATGATGTCTGTGGAAAAAGCTTACAAAGGATGAAATGAAAATCCAATTAAAAATGTAACGAAACTTTGTTTATCTTAAAGTATGCTGTAAGTTCATATTTAGAAATATTAAGTAATTTGAGATATATTAATCAAAGCATAAAGATCATACTCTCAAAGTCATGAATATAGAATAATGTAATAAATTAAGCCTGTTCTTTCAAGCCTGTTCATTGTTCTTTTCAAGGACACATCTTTGTCCTTGAAAAGACTTTCTAGAGAAAAATATAATTTTTAGTTCATTGTTTCATTGTTTTTTAGTAGTTACTCACCTATCAAACCAAAAAGTAAATAACGCATTTATTTTAATTTTGTTACAGTATATAGATCATAGTTTCATAGACAGCATTTTCATAGGATATCAGACATGTATTCCCTTTTATTATACTTTGTATTTAGTTTTAATTAGCAATGCATATACAAATATTTTCATATTTATTATAGCTATGAAAGTAAACACTTCTTTGGACAGTTGATTTAAACAATGAATTTAGTCATAGTATTATTATTAAAACAGACATACTAAAAACAAGAAAATAGTAAATTTGCTGAGAGTACTGTGCATGTGTGTGCATGATTTACATTTGAATTCAAGAACATTTGTAAACATATTTAAGATACATTTTACTAATAATAAGTACAGAGGAGGTTGTAGAGACATTATGAGTTTTCGAAGCAGGAGACCTACCGGGAATCGAACCACGGACCTCTGGAATTCGTGACCAGCGTGTTGACCACTACACTACGAAGGCATGCTAAGAAGGCGGGAGAAATACCTTATAAAGTTACAGAGGAATCCCACTTAGTTTGCGTGATTAAGGTTGCACAAAATTAACCAAATACTGTTTTTGTTAAAAAAATATAGAAAGAAGCAAGCAAATTAAAGAAAACGAAATAATATAAAAGAATGATATTTTTTTTTCATAAAACGTAAACGAATAACGTGTTCCGCATAAAACATAAACGAAGTATCGAGACTTCGTAATCGGTTACAAAGTGCAAAGTATATCAGCTGTTCGCCTTTGATGGTAAAAGGACAATCTGTGCCATCCGAAAAAGCGGCGAACATTATAATTATTAATGTAGCATTAAATTTTTCATTTATAAACATTGATGTTTAGATTCATAGTCTGCCAAATTATGAATTTAATCATCCAGTTTCATATTATGCAATTACTTAAGCAGATCCTTCTTGCACTCAAATTAAAACATATGCCCAATACACATGGCTGGAGACCTTTACTTTCAGTGATCGAATCCCTTTTGTATAAAAGAATGGACGGGAAAAGAAATATTGACAAAATTAGTGCAATTTTAATCTTTAAAATGGTGGAACAAATCTTGAGTGTTTTGAGAAATGTTGATTACATAAAACGTTCAGTATTTTATAAAACGCACATTCGTTACATCTTCTGAAATTTGCCTTTTAATCATAAATTCTTATCTAAAATATTAGTAGATAAGAAAATTCTGCTTAAAATTTCACCGTTTTATGTGTTTCACATCATCTCCCACTATTCCGTGGGAACAAAATGTGTTTCGGAAATATGAGATATGGTTCGTACACTACTGATAAGAAAATACGTGAATGATCGAAAACTATCAAAAAGTAATTGTTTCCCCAAATTTTTCATCCTATTTTTTTCCCTCGCCGTAACTAGACAAAACATGTACATAGTGAAGTTAGTCATTTTTTGGCATAAGAATTAAGATTATCCAAACATTTCTGCCGACGATTACCATATAAATTCTTGTCCTGAGCATGCAGCCACCTGCAAACATTCGATTGGACTTCATAAGCTGAATCGAAGGTTGCTTCATACAGAAATCAAACCAGAAATCAAATCTTCGTACAAAGTCCAAATGACACGACCGCACACTTTCACCATTTAATTGTGAATTTCATTCAGAATTTTAACTCCACCAAAATGGAACACCGATATATTAAATTGATCGGATTATGGCAAAGCACGCAAAGACTGTCTGCCTAAAGGAAGGGATACCTTCGTAGAGAACTGTTTAAGGAAACCGGCTCATACTAATGTTGCACTTGGGAAATTCAAATAAAATAAAGGACTATAAGTCGTTGATATTCAGTTATGAATGACAATAGCAAGCTCGACAATTTTTCTGCTGTAGTTCATGGCTCTTCCACCAAGACGACAACAAATGTGACAAAACATTTATAATATTATGGCCGTACCTGTTATCTGCTAATTTGAGGGCCCACCAGCGGCCGAGCGGTAAAATCGCTGAACACTGGTAGTTCGGTCCGAGGTTCGAATCCCGCGAACGGGCTGGCTGCATGGGCGTTTTCGTGGTTTTCCCCATGTGTAACGTGTATACGAGCCAGTTTCCCTTAGAAAGTCCTCCACGAAGGCATCCCTCCTCTTAGGCAGATAGCCCTCGCGGCTTTGCCATAATCACACACACATATCTGCTAATTTGAAGTCTTCTACGTTTAAATTCTGGAGAGAAAAAAAATATTGTTGAGTTACCTTACGGTTCTCTTTCGTGTGAATGTATATGTGATTCAAATGTGCCGAGATCTACCAAAAACTCCAAATAAATATTTTTCACGGTTTCTACATATATTATAAGTACAGGAAAATAAAACAAAGCTATGAAGGAATCAGTACGTTTTTAGTTAGAAGCTTAAGTAAAATAGAGCTCGGAATAACGAGATGATATATACATTATACATTACTGCTGGTGGTATAGTATGAAGAGCTGTAGAAAGCATTTATTTAAATAATGTAACATCTATAAGGATTGGGGAAAAGTGTACAGTGTTATTTTATAACAGAGGAAACAAGAGTTTTAATTACTCTGAATATAAGGGGTTTGAAAATAAATGAACTAAGAACAAAATATATTATATTATTCAGTTTAAAAGAAAATCGAACATTAAAAACTGCAAAAATACATAAAGTTTAAAACTTCAAATTATGAATATTTCACTTCATTTAATTTTTTACACACAATTTATGATTTATTTACAGTATAAACACTAATTTTCGTTTTGAATAGTTCTTTGTTTCATTCACGGTATCTTTGCGTTATTGCATTTTACTGCCAAGAGCCACTCTTATTAACTTGTTTACTTGCAACAGTATACAGTCTTATTTTGAATGAACTTTTATTATTCATTAAGTTTTTGGCAGAACAAAGACTGCTCGTCAAAATTAAAGGATGATCTGAAAAAATATGCTAACTGACTAAAATATTCAACCTTTGCCCAGTGGTGTAAATATTTATGTTGGTTGCAGATAACACTCATTTCATCTTCCAATAGAGCCCGTTTAATCTAGTGTCATTATCGTGTTGAATGGAGACAAGAGGAATGGGACCATCTATAACCGTCAACTGATATGTGGACGAGAGGTATTGAGACCCTATCTAAGGCTGTTTAGGTATGCTACTGACTCAGAAGTTCTGCCGATGACAATACTCGTCCGTGACGATCAGTTCTGGTGGCAGACTAATTCGAAACTGAAGATATCATTTGAAAAGACTGGTAGCTTACTCACCAGATCTGAACGCAAATGAGCATGAGTGGGATGCTTTAGGCCACTAAATTGCCGCAGACTAATTTCTTTCCTGACACTCCAGAATTTGAAAATTGCACTTCCCTAAGAATGGCACTCAGTTTCACAAGATTTGATAAGTATTTCTGTAAGATCTATGCAATTAAGGTGTGAGGTTTTGCATTTCTGTCAGAGGTGACCATACACCCCATTATAGAAAGATTTGTTGCGAAAAAGGGAAATTAATTTTCCCATCATTTTAAAAATCCATAACTTTAAATTTATTATTTTAAGATTAATCTACTGAAACGCTTGGTAATTTATATTAAGTAATGCTTTTGTACATATAGTTTTTAATAAGTTTTCAGTAAGTAACAGTAAAATTTTACTTCAATCAATATCCTTTAATTTTAACGAGCAATGCAGAATGCATTGCCAAGTAAGTGTCCCTCTTCCAACATTGCTGTGAGAAGTTTCATCGATTTACTTTTCATTTTATTTCTCAATTTTGGATCTTTGTTTAGAATAATTATTCTTCGCATGTTATTTCTAAAACGTACAGAATACGAATATCGTGTAATGAATTATAACGAAGGAAAATTGGCTGAACAACCAATTTCATAAACTCTTCATCTTCTCTTACTTCAGTTTGTGATTATGTAGTTATAGTGATGAAGAATCGTCAACGCAGTTGTCAATACACTCAGAGCTCACATGTATCAATAGCTTGCTGTTCCTGCTGTATCAAAGCTAGACTTCGGATTGGGCTAGACTCCTTCGTTCTGAAAAAGAGAAAAAATCTCAATGAAATCATTTTATAACACACACAGGAACATTTAAGTCAAATAAAGATAAAATAACACACCAAACAAATATTAATTTAGAAGTCAGACAAAAAAAAAAAAAAAAAAAAAAAAAATCAGCGTTATATTTGCAAATTTTCACAGGCCTAGATTCGATGGTTTTACCGAACCATCAGCCTCAGCTGCCAAAGTGCAAAAGAACAAGATAAGATAAAATAAGATAAGAATGGCTGTACAGAAGTTAGCTACTGGCGCCATTATTCTCATCAATAAAATTCGGAATTTCATACTTAAAGACCTCATTCCGGATATGAATTCCAGGGAACATGAGGCATGTGTTAGGAAAAGGAAAACACAGAAGTCCTGTGTTGTCCAGCATTATTGGTCAGAAAATCACACTTTCCATTTTTCTGCAGCCAAAATTATTCAAAAAACACCTTCCATTGGTTAATTAGATTTTCTAGAGGTGTTTCACATTCAAAAAATCTTTTTGTTCTTATTAAAGGCCCTAATTCCAATCCATCTTTATCTTTAGCCTTTAAGGAAATTACGTTTTTTTTTTTCTTGTTGGTATGCAAATAGTGATGGACTGTCGCCAATAGTGCGATAAACATTATGAACTGGAAACTCTGCAAAAGGAGTTTTAATTGTGTAACTCGCTTATTCTTTACTCTTACTTCTCACCTTCAGAAAGGACATGGAGGTGGAAAGGTACTTCCTACCTCCACCTCATGGACTTCCTACTTCCTACTCCATGAAAGGACAGTGGTGGCTTGGCAAATGCGGTCGAGAGCAGGAGACTGACGTTTTACGAAAGGGGAAAGTAAAGGCGTGTCAGGGATCATAAGGGTGATACTTTTAAAAAAAAGGTTGAGGTCTCATTCGTATCAGTATATCAAAATAAAGATGCACATGGTATCAGAATGAGACAAATTACATAAGATACGAAAAGTTTTATTTGTTATTAACATTTCATTTTTACATTGTTTTCGTATAGGAATTCCTTCCACCCCCCTCTGAGCAATACAAACAGGTACATGTAAGCGGCTGAAAAGCACGGCTATAAACAAATAATCCAACCCAATTCCAGTGAACAGCGCTTATTAATACTAATGTTTACGGAAGCATCCTAGTTTTGAAAAGCTTCGTATCATCTAACATAAAATTAATTAAATTAATCATCTTAAGATGATGATTTGTGTTGAATATGGCAAAACAATGAGGGTTGGCTAGGCATGATTTCATGGAGAATTTTCTAAGGGAAATGGGCTCATATTTACATTACCTTACGATTATAAGTATTGATTAACATTTCCTATAAACTTCTAATTGAGGCTTTCTGAGAGCAACCCCCTTAATTTGACTCGCGCTTTTAATTTTAGACTAAAAATATGAGCATAGAAATCCTTTAAAAAACAATGGGTTGTTTTTAAACACTGTGCATGAGCGTGCCTAGTAATAATAGATAATAGTTTTAGCGTCGCTAAGAATCATTTTGGATTCTCCTATTGATTTTTTTCAAATATTAAAAGCTGCAATTGACGAGTACGACCAATGCATAATACATACATATATAACGTAAGCATACCATAAAGAAAAAGAACCCCCACAAAAGCTGATGGACTGCTATTGAACTCTAAAGGGGGGGTTTTATCAGAGGGAAAATGGCAATTAAAATCAATTAAAATTCCTTTAATTGATTTTAATTATTATTTACTGTATCGATTATTACTTATTGTAATGGATTGGAATATTTGAATATGAATTTATAATATTTAAGAAAAAAGATTATGACTGCGAGAATAGGAAAAAACATTTTTTGAAATATTTAATTCTTTAGAATGCAGATGAATTCATTTTTATTCAAAAAATCAAAATTTAGAGCTAATTAATTGTCTTTGTATCGACCACTTTTAGTTCAGTGATTTCGGTATTAATGTGCGCTTTTTTTTTTAAAAAATTTGAATGCTTCAAGAATAATTAATTAGAAAAAAGCATAATTCTCTCTTACCCTTAAATCTTCAATAAAATAACTGAATTTTCAGCTATAACCAAGGAAATAATTTTCTAAATAGGCATGAAAAATAAGGTACATTAAACGCTTGGAAATGGAAAGCTTGAGATTCTCTTTAAGAAATATGGTAAAGCTTAACAAAAGTCTACGAAGTGAAGTAATTTCCGTAGAATATTTTCTAACTCTTTATGATTAAATTGCACTCAATTATACTTTATAAACGACATGTAAATACTATTTAAGGTATATGCGTGGATGTGTGTGTGTGGCTCACTAGCGGCTGAGCTGTAAAGTCGTTGAACTCTGGCAGGTGATCCGGGTTCGAATCCGATCGAGGGGATGGCTGGCTTGGCGTTTTCGAGGTTTTTCCCCACGTGTAACGTGCATAAGTCAGTTTGCTTAGAAAGTTCTCCACGAGGCACCCTTACCTGTAGGCAATAACCGTCGAATGCTTGCTATAATCAAACAAACCAGACCAACAAAGAGATATAAATAAGTAGCTTAAAAACTGCTATATTTTATGTATACTCATTAAGTAGTATTTAAATATATAATGATTAAAAGAAAGTCGGATCCTAACTGATTGTATATAATGTATCCTATATGCAGAGCCCTACAATTTATCACTTAAAGTACATAAGCCACAAAAAGAACAAATTAAACTTCCAGAGTATACAATACTGAATCTAATACAAAAATTACAAATTAAAAATAGTAGTAATATATTACGAACACTAACTACATATATAGATTGCTATTTACGTATATTACGATACGGTAATGAAATGTATAATAAAGATATTTTAGTAGTCTTATTCGATATTTGGTTCCATTATATATCCCTATAAATAGCTATATATCATTTAAGGATTCGTTTCAGGCTTATAGTAGTCGTTATAATAACATATTAACTCAAAGTGCATCATAATGTATTTTTCAGTATATTTAACTCATCTTCGGAATTTTCTGCAGTTGTTTGCGTAGTTTTTCCTACGTCTCCTAAAAACCATTCTTGTTTTGCTGCCAGTCTGCCAAATCTCCCACTAAAACGCAGCCCACACTGTATTTGCGAACGGCCTAGCGTGCCAAGGTTTACGCCATCGGTTTGATATTCTATCCTCAGACTACTCGCATAATGGAAATCGCATTCGAAATCAAAACCAATATTACTACAAATCATTCGTAACAAATATATGTCTTTCTACACCTATGCTTAAAAAAAGATGGAATTATCTTAAAGTTTATCGTTAAGTATTACATTTCATTGTACAATTGCATTCATTGAAGAATAGTAATTGTTTTTCCTGTGTATTAAACTGAAAGTAGCGAAGTGAGATAAACAACCCCGCATTTCTCAGATCCTAGCTGAGAGTGGCCGCCTGTAGCCTCTCCCCTGAAACAGGATGTAAAATTTATGACACTGACCGCAAATGGGGTATGCAGGACAGTGAGAAGACACTCTCTATTATATAAACTCCCTTGTTTCAGATAGTATGTGGTACTAACCAATCTAGCTATTTGAGGGTAAAAAATTGTTTACTTACAATTTCAGCACAACGAGTTTGAGCAGACAGTAATTAGCATCATCCGCTGAAACTGCGCTTGGATACAGGAAAGGAATCTGGGCTTCTCTCTCACTTTTTATATATTGGTAGGAAATTTCGGTGTATAAATATGTTTTACAGCAAATGCTATGAAACTGACGTGAAAGAAAAAGCAAGCATTAACATATAATAAAGGAAAAATTGCAAAGGCTAACACGGCAGTTCATATCAAAACGAGAAATTAATTGTTGTGGCGCGATACAAAAATGTTGCATTCAAGTAAATGCACTATGCAAAACTGATTCCAGCATAATCAACAGGAAATTCAAAATGGAATGCTACTAATAAAGTGAGCATCTACGATGTAATCGAAGATGTTCCTCCAAGCTCCATTACACAACAATGGAGTAAACGAAATCGCAAATGTCGCGAGATGGATAACTTTTATTTATCGAAGTACAATAAATAATTCACATTAAACACTGCTAAAGCCAATTGGGAAAACTCAGCCAGTACATGAAAGTCTAATCTCTCAAGTAAACTATTTCTTTTGCTAAGCTTTACAGTTTGAAGCTTGAGGAAGACGGAAATATGCAAACACATATAAATACATTACTGTAGTTAGTCGATAAACTCAAATCAGTAGGTGAGAACATAAAAGATGAACACGTTTCGGCACTTTGGCTTTGTTCAATGCCTAGTTCTTACGATACGCTCATTACGGCTGTTGAAGCCAGAGCAGAATCGAAACTGAATCCAGAATTCTTAAAAGGGGAATTAATTGACGAATTTAACAAGAGAGTGTAAAATAATTCATCGGGTTTAAAGGCATTTTAAAGTCTCATTTCAAAACAAGACAAAGAGAGAAAAGTTTTGCTCATACTGTCAAAAAAATACCATTTTAGACCAGAGTGTTATCATCTAAAATAGAAACAAAAAATGAACCGTGCCAAAACTCGAAAAAAAAAAAAAAAACATACGCGGATTCTAAAACACTCCAAGCAAAGAATGCTTGTAACCTCGCGATGAATCAACAACAAACAAAAATTAAAACACCGGTAATCGAATCCAGATGCGGCGCTGTCGCTCTGTTTGCTAACTGCGCCGTACATCAATCATCCGAGAGTTTTATCTTCGATAGCGGTGCAAGTAGCCATCTGGCAAATAATAAGAAATATTTCACGGAATGTGAACCCATAAATCCGTCAGATATTATAACTGCAAATGGGCAATGTATTAAATCAACGGCAATAAGAACTTTCCCTTTTAAAACATTAAATGCTAAAGAAAAAATAACTGAAGTTTTCTTATCGGAAATCTTATACGCTCCTGAATTAGAAACGAATTCGTTCACACTGGTGTTTTAGGACCAATACAAACACCGCCTGTCAGTGGATATCTATACTTCGCAACTTTTATTG